CATTGATTACGAGTTTACATCCGTAGAGCCTCGGATGCTCTTCTCCGCACCGTCGCAATGCGGTCTTTGTGGTCGCTCTCAATTTCACCAATCTGCTTCATCTCGCCCGCCTGAAGATGTGCAGATCTCCTTTATCTCGGAAAGGTGATTTTTTTCACTTCGGGACGGATAGAGAATTCTGAACATTCATCTACATGTTTCTTTTCATGGGTTTACAGTCTGTTAATTCTAATACTAAGAAAATGCCCTCTCATCAAAAATTTCACCAATTCTGAACATGTAATAAAATGATTTTTTCTCATCTGAAATCTATAGTCTAAGGTTTGTTTCGTACTCCTATTTCTCCAAGATCAGCAATGCTGTGTTAGGAGATACAGTTGTTAGGACACGCACTGGGATATCGGAAGTCGTTCTCAATATCATCAAGTGTCTACCTTCCGCATGAAGCTATGGCTGCGATGCTTATTAAAGGCGCAAAGTATATATAAGCGCGTGTTTGCCAGCTACTGCTGCAGTATCGGAGGTTGTAGCTGAATCGTTCGTACACCTGTAAGCCATGCATGAAGAAAGTTTTCTGAAATAAAAATGGCTTTGATAACTTTTCACTCATACAAGGTATTGTTACTTATAAAACGTCCAATTTTCGGTGCGGTTCGGGGAGGGATTCCAAAGTCAGTCGAATCAGTTGAATTTCAACTGAGTTGAGGCACGCTACACTTGATGTTTCCCGTCGGAGGACTCCTTTGGCAAAGGACCTTTGCCAGCCATTCTTTGCCAGCCCTTGCACGCATGCAGGCAGTCACGCGGTGCCCGCGCACGCACGAAATGTGCTTTGTCACGTCATCGAATCGCAAAGGCGTGACTTTTGATCTGCTGCTCGGCCAGGTCGAGAAGGGAATCTCGGCCAGTGCTCGGCCTCGACAATGCGGATCGAACGAACACCACCACCCCGAACATTGTTGTACGTACTTAGTACAGTAGTAAAACGTTGACTGCTTGCTAGTTTTGTGTACATGGTGCTGTAAGCACGCTGTGTGTCCAACGTGGCATTCTCTTAGCCTATGAGTCTGTCGGACCGTCGTCCTCAGACAGCAGAAACTCGACGTCGAGCCGTGAGTTCTCGGAGAGGTCTCCAGGAGACGTTCGCACGGCGAGATCATTGAGCGACGCCTGGTTGGGCGGCGACATGAGGTAGAGCACGGTCTCGTAGTCGCCTGCGACCGGTAGCAGCGCGTTCGTAAAGTCAAGATCGCACATGTACTTGATGATCCGCTTGTTGGAGGCGAAGAAGAATGTGTCACGTATCGGGTAGCAGATCTCCTGACCGAGCATCTTGTTGCACAGTAGTTGGTTGCCCAAAATGTGCGGGAACAACATTTCGATAGTCTTCTGCGAGACGCGCACCCGAAGATTCGCCTTGGTGGTCACGGCCAGCGTGTCCTCCGTATCGACGATGCCGATGTCCACGAGCTCGAAGCTGAGCGAGTCGTGCCACGCCGCCCAAGCCGTCCAGCCATTGAGCAGCGTGTTGGCGCCCAACACGAAGCGACCACACCAGTCGAACACCTCAACGTACGGGTCCATGATACAGTTGAGGAACTCGCACTGCGCGTCGGGAGTGGGCTGGTAGGCCACAGAGAGTGCCCGCTTCTTTCCGGCGATACCGGTAGCGGCTTCCACCGCCGGCGACGGCATGCCGTGTCTGAATACGGTCATGTACTCACGCACGATCTTAGCGAGTGACCCGGAGACGGAGCCGGGGAGCTGAAGGGACTGCTCCCTGCGCAGGTTACGCAGGATCTCGAGGTCGTACACCTCGGTGCGCAGCGCGCGTACGACTGCCTCTAAGTTCTCCGAGTACTGCTTCTGGCGTTCCCGGCACTGGCGGCTGCGCTCCGTCGAGAGCGCTCGGACTTTGCCGTTTTTCTTCTTCTTGATGTCGGTGGAGTGCTTCTTCTTGGAGGGCGTCGGCTGCTCGGGTCTCATGGTGGCGGTCACCAGGAGACGCGCGTCGTCTTCGCTGCTGGTGATACTTTGCATGAGTATTGAGCTGCTGAGATGTGGTGCCGATGAGTCCTATAAGCAGATGGTCGAAAGGCGCTGCCGTTGCGATGAGTTCGCAATTGGCAAAATGAGCAGCACCTGCCGATCTCGGGGTGCTGCAACCGGCGAGGAGAGACCGTGGCGTAAACCCGTTGCTCGCAACGCTCACGCAGGGTCTTTACTCTGCCGTTCGCAGGTGATCTGGTCTCGCCGTTTCTGCTTGCTTTGTGATATTGATAGACCGCACCGTTCTGGGTGACTCGAGTCGAGGCTTTCTCCCTCCTTCGCGAACGAATGAGCAGCGCTTCTCTGCGGGCAAGACGAGACGAAAAAGCGCACACGAAACATGCGACTGCCAGAGAGTCGCAAGCGCTTGCAGACGCAGCGTGATCGTACCTGTTTGAGCAAGCAGTGCGTGGTTAACAAACTCCGAAGCTCATCCACCGAAAATCCAAACGCTTCTTTGTAAAGGTGAAAACGCGTCACGACTTGGTTGATTTGTCACCTGTAGCAAAACGTAAACGACCAGGCACGGTCCGACGTGCTGCTCACCGCCCTGTCGAGTCCTTGGTGCTTATTGTTGGAAGCAGTAGCTGGACGAGTCGAGATGCCCGCAGGATCCACGCAAAGGTGTACGCCGTGTACTGTACTGTGAGGAAACAATCCACCGCCGCGAGGGGACATGAAAATGTTTCAGCCAGGTTGCGTCGATCGTTCGCTGGCCACCCGTTTTCTCCGATCAGGGCAGCGATGCCACAACAGTTACTGTGACGCGATGGAGTCCGTTGATGAACAAATACAAGAGCGCATGTGCTGGACTGACATTCAGTCAGCTGACTATAATAACACCGCTGACCAACTTCGATGCGGTGAGGCGGACCGGGCTCGGTTGGCGGTACACTCGCGGACGATGGGTGCTCCCAGACAAAGTCTTGGTGTAGTTTCTTGTATTGATTCTCTTCGACAAGAGATATATTATGGAAAACTCGTTCACCGATAGGTAGATCAAAGAAAAAAAATTTTTTTGGGGGGGTCAAAATCTCTATTTTGGGTAGATTAAATATACTTGTGAAGCTTACATTGGTCAACTCGTTGTCAATTCGGTTCCTGCACCATTTTCCAATTACGCTGTCCAAGCATGAAACGATGAAGCGCTATGTATGTGATCCAATCAACCTGTCGTGATGATGGTCAGCTTTACCGGTGGTTGAAGTTGAATGTTGCTTGAATTGCGTCAACCTTCGATCGACATTCACATTTTCCCTTTTGGTGTCCGTCCATCCAATGCTCCTCCGACCTGCGACTTGTGCCGTGCTCCATGCTGCGCGCGCAGCTTCCTTTGCTCTGCGAAGCAATCGACACGCTACCCCATCCGTGTTGACGAACGTACCCTCTCATCGACTGTCTCCTAATGCTCTGCGTCGCGACTGGATTGCAATGTTCCGAGAATTCTCGACAACTACCAACAAAAGCAAAGACACTGAGCCCAATCCGTTGTCAAAGGTACGACGACCGACATGCAATGAACTTGAAGTTAAATTTCAAAGATGTCAAATATTAATTGATCTTATTGCATTGTTGTTGCTGTTGTAGGATGCCGGCGTTCCGACGGCGTCTGACCCTCGAGTGAGCGAAATATTGGAGTTGATCGAGCAGAGCCGCGTAGAGGTTCGTCGTACTATTAGAAACTGAGCTGTGGTGACGCGATTGTTGCTCATTAATGGCTAAAATATTGTGGCGAGAATAGGGAGACAATGAGCGGGAGCTGGAACAGTCGCTTGAACTCTACGACCTCCTCAAGCAACGCAGCCAGCAAGGTACAACTTGCTTGCATACTTCGAATCAGTCAGAAGTGCCTTATCTGGTGTGGTGGCACAGATGCTGACGTATTCGAGGTGGCATTCGGCATCGCGCGGATATACGACGACCAGCTGGAGGACGGAGAGACTGCCATCAAGTACTATGAAGAGGCCCTCGAGATTTTGGAGGCGATCTCGACCGAAGTAACAGCTTGGGGTGCATATATGCGTGTGACTACCTTTGGAGCCCTTGCAGTGTGCTACGAAAAGCTGTACGTTGTAATTGTCTGCCTGATCGTTATTTTATTTATTGCTGACTGCATTTTGATGAACAGTAGCCGGCCTGAGGAAGCTGCAAAGTACTTTGAAGACGCCATTGGCGCGTATGAAGAGCACTGCGACCAAGCACCGACTTTGGATGATGGTGAAGCTGATGATGTATCGGACTCGGACGTCTCTCTTCTTGCTGATCTCAACGCCACGGCTGCCATGATCCACTACCACTACGCTGGTAACTTGCTAGCACAAGATCGCTGGGATGAGGCTAAGACCGTCACAGAGATCGCGCTTGTACTTGCCGAGAATTCAAGTATGCCGGCGGGGGACTTGGAGGAACTGCAGCAGTGCATTCACGACCTGTGGCTGGAAATGGATTAGACTGCGATCAAAGTTAAAAAAA